GGCCCGATTCCCGCAGGCCAGGCCGAAGGACCCCACTGAAGCCCGAATCTGTGCACCAGGCCTCTAGTGTTAATAAGTGAGATTAGCTTGTTATTTTTCTTCTCATTTTGTCTAAATCTTGTTTAGCATTAAAACTATACTAATCTCATTTTTAAAGTTACTATTTAGGCCCTCGCCGGTATGCTCAGTGGCTAGAGCACCGACCTGTGCACCAAAGGGTCATGGGTTCAACTCCTGGTCAAGGTCACACACGTGGGCTCTGGGCTCACTCCCTGCCCTCTGTTGGGGCAACTGTGGGAGGCAACCAATCAATGTATCTCTCTCGCATCGATGCCTCTCTCTCTCTCTCTCTCTCTCTCTCTCCTGCCCTCCCTCCCTTCCACTCTAAGAAAGCACTGGAAAAAATATCCTTGGGTGAGGACTAACAACAACAACAAATTCTGCTCTATTTAGTAGAGCAGAATGTAGTAAGCAAATAGACTAAATTCCTGGTGGCTGAGAGTAGGGAACGATGTATTGGGGATGGAGAAGCCCTCATGCAGGATGAAGGTGGTGCAGGGCTGGGGGAGGTGTGGGGGTGCTGAGAAGGGTAGGAACCCGTGGTGGGGTGAGGAGGACAGGACGAGGATGGGGTGAGGATGGGAGCAGCACTGGGCTGACTAAAGTCCACAAAGATGGAACTGGATCCAGGATTATGAAAGAAAAAAAAGTGATGTGTGAACCTCATCCAGCCAAGCAAACATTCTCCAAGGGCAACACAAGGGCGCTTTCAGATAAGAAAGGGCTCAGCGCGGGCACTCGTTTCTCTCAGGTGGATTCACTCGGCGCTATTAAATACCTACCGAGTGCCTTCCATGCTGCACACACTGCTTGGGTTCTGTTTGGGTTCTAGCAGTAACAAAACCAGTCCCTGGACCTTTGTAGAACTTAGAAGCCTGGCTGTGTGTGTGTGTGTGTGTGGGAGGGGGGGTGTACAGGTAGTTGATAATAAGCATAGGAAGTAAATTACCCAGGATGTTGGATGCTGTGATAGGTGCTGTGGGATCAGCACAGTCAGAGGAGGCTTAACTGAGAAAGTTAAGAACTTCTGATGATCTTGATCAGGATTCTGTTCTGTGGTAACTGACTTCATTTTTGAATTTGGCAATCATGTTCCTAATAGGCATTTTTGTTGAAAATATTAACCAAAGATAAAATTATCTTCTAAAACCATCAGGAAACCAAGCAAAGTCCACAGCAGAAACCTTTCTCCTTACTGAAATCGATACTGCATCTGAATGCCACCGGCGACTCCATGGAGTTCCAGGTTGAAATCGTTTGCATATGGTGTCTCTGTGGTCCTAAGAGAGGATGTGGTCTGCAGACTCGGATTACTAGGCTTATTAGATAAGCATTTAGCGTATTAATATATTTCCCCTTTTCATTAAGGTCGTTTAAAAGCTGTAAAAGGCTCTCAGCATCAGCATGCACAGCAGTTCACCTGATTTAAATGTGTAATAATGTCGCATCACCCTGTGCAAGAAGTGCAGCTCTCACTGTTCTGAGGCCATTTCATTTCAGAACGCGGTGGAGGTCCCAGGCTGGCCAGGGGCAGACCTGCAGGTCGACGGCTTCGATGGCCTGAAGGTAGGGCCTCGGCCTCTCTGTTCTGGCCCTCACCCATCAGTGGGAGTTCGAGTACAAGCTCTGGGCCTCTGGTTCCCAACTTTGCTGCATAACTTGGTCCCCACGCCGAAGAGCTGGCCCAATGCCCACCCCTGGGTGGGAGGCCACGCCTTGTAGCAGCTGTCAAAGTTCCCTTTCGTACCAGCTGGGCTCATCCGCCTCCAGTGACAACTTCCTGCCCAGCAACAGGACCCCGAAAGACGGACACGCCGAGTCCTCCCAGGCAGCTTGTGTGGCTGGTGGCTGCGACAGGGGACATCCAAATGGAGGTTAAGGCAAATGACTGTTTTAAAAAATAGATCATTTCAGGCATCCAGTACCGGATATCTCTCTTTGCATGACCCAAAGAAAGGACCTGCTGTAGAAAATGTCAGTCACATGAGAGCATGCACAAGGCGGTGGGGGCAGGAGGTCCCCCCAAAAGTTAAGTAGCCCAGAGCGGCACCCCCAGCACAGGCCCCAAGCACCCACAAGAGACTCTTCAGGGAGCAGTTTGCAGGCAGGTGTCGGCCCTGCACCTCTGCAGGCTGGAGGGTGAGTTGTGTGGAGGGCATTTGCTCGTGGCTGGAACTACAACGCCCTGGGTCTGCATGAGCCGCTTCTTTAGAACAACAGCGGCTCCCTCACAGCGATACCGCCTGCTGAGCAGAGGGTCTTAGGCACTGAGTGCTTGCACCCCCCAAGTTCGCATGCGGCAGTCTAGTCCCCTGGCTCTCAAAAGAAATTTCAATCGTTGTACTGTTGATCTTTGGCTCTGTTGACTCATGAGTTCGCCGACCACTGGGCTAAGACGTAGGAGAGTGGCCGGAGGCTGGAAGGAGGGGCGTCCCTGGGTCTGTTCCATCCAAACGCTGTTGAAGTGACAGACAGATCCGGGCTGCCAAGGGCGCTGTGAGACGCGAGTCTGCATTGCTAACCACCAGCCATGCTGCCGGCCCACACTTTGAGAGGCAGAGTGAGAAACGGAGCTTTCTGACATCCAGGACCGCGTGCTGCCCGTCTTTGTGTCTCCAAAGTATAGTGTAGAAGCTACTGGCAAGTGTTTGAAATCAAAGTACATTTCAGCCTAGCCTGGATCCCCAGCCTTTTTCTCTGCATGTTGAAGTTTACATAAACTTATGCCTGTGACCTTGTGGAACCAATCCATAGCTCGACCAGGTGGCCAACATCTATCTTTCTTTTCCCTCCCTGCCTCCCTCCCTCCTTCCCTCCCCTCCCTCAATCCCTTCCTTCCTTCCTTTTTTTTTTAATTTGACCAACATTTCCTAAGTGCCCTGTATGTCCAGATACTGGGCATTCAATGGTTAATAAGATGTGATTCCTGCCCTCAAGTTGGCATGTTGATGGAGGGGATTATCCTCTAGGCCAGCGCTTTATACAGCGGTTCTCAACCTGTGGGTCTCGGCCCCTTTGGCGGTCGAACGACCCTTTCACAGGGGTCGCCTAAGACCATCCTGCATATCAGATATTTACATTATGATTCATAACAGTAGCAACATTACAGTTATGAAGTAGCAACGAAAATAATTTTATGGTTGGGTCACAACATGAGGAACTGTATTTAAAGGGCCAGAAGGTTGAGAACCACTGTCTAAGGCAGTGATGGCGAACCTATGACACGCTTGTCAGAGGTGACACGCGAACTCATTTTTTTTGGTTGATTTTTCTTTGTTAAATGGCATTTAAATATATAAAATAAATATCAAAAATATAAGTCTTTGTTTTACTATGGTTGCAAATATCAAAAAATTTCTATATGTGACATGGCACCAGAGTTAAGTTAGGTTTTTTCAAAATGCTTACACGCCGAGCTCAAAAGGTTCGCCATCACTGCTCTAGATTCTAGGGGAAAGAGGTCAGTCCTCTGACTAAATAGGCAGGCACTGCATGTCTTAAAAACGCCTGGGACACACTGGTGCCCTCAGCACAGCAGTTGAGAACCGCTGGCCTAGAGGGATTCTAGCGTGAGAACAAAATGTGATGCCAACAGCGAGACCGGGAGGAGTTGGAGGAGTGGCTCCTTGCTGGAGACAGCGGTGAAGCAGCGTGCCGAGTCATCATCTGCCTCATTCGGCTGGATGTCTACTCTTCTATACTGTGTGGCCCCAACCAAGGGCACCAGACACCAAACTTCCAATTTATTATCAAATTTCTAATTTATGTCAACAGCAACAGAAAGGCACAACTGACTCTCAAGGGACAGGGATGACAGACCACGTGCAGACGCTCATGGGATGCCTCGTTTCTCCTGGACGCCCGAGGCTGGTGGGAAGGGCGCGGACACCTCTGGGTTTGCAGCCCTGCCCACCATGTACCAGCCACGTCCCTGGTGCAGTGACGTGGTGCCTTCCTTCCCCATCTGTATAATGGGGGTGATGGCAGCACCCACCTCCTGAGTGAGCGGAGTAAGGCGAGTGCAGGGGGAAGCTGAGGTGGGGCCCAGCTGACGACTGGTTTCTCTGGGAGTTTCACGAGATAACGTATTATTTCACTACAGAGAGATGAGGCAGAGAGAAGGAAACCCCGCTGTGACGACCGCGTGCGACTCCTCAGACTGCTCCCTTCAGGGCTCGGCAGATTCTGTGGAGCCTCCGGTCACAGAGTCGGTTCCCCAAGACACACACACAGCCTCGTTGTAATACTTTTTTATTACAATATCCAAAAAACTGAGTATGCAAGTTGAGGAGGTCTCAAGACCCCTTCTTTGACTGTAGGAATGTGCCATCTCAAGATAGTATATTTAAACTATAAAGAAGTTCAAATGTAAAGAAAAAAGAAAACAAACATTCTGTGTGTCTTTTCCTACCAATTACATATTCCTTTGTACACCCTGAAAAACCCTGTAAAGCAAATAATATATATATAAAATATATATATGTATATATTGTGTGTGTGTAAAGTGTTGGTAGCTTCCCTTCCCAAAAGATCAGCTGTTTTCCTTAATCATCTGTTTTAGTGTCAACAAATGGCTACAGATACCTATCACTTCGAGAATTAAAAACTGTGAACTTAAACAGCCAAAGGCGAGAGGAGAGCACTATGTGGACGGCACACCGGGGGGCAGGTCACCAAACGTCTCTTTCCGAGCTGCCGTCCCTCCTGCAGACGGACCTTCCGGAAACCCTTTCTTATTGCAAGCACAGCCCCAAAGGCACTGGGCAGCTTCCTCGCTGCGGCCTCCCTGGTGGCTCCGGGATTGCTCCCAGCAGACGGTCCACTCCC